ACTGCACTTGGAACTTTTAATGGGTGTGTAGAAAAGTTGTATGAATAACAGGTGGTAAAAAAGGTCAATTTGATTCACTATCTTTTTATGCAGAAAGGTGCACTGTATTTCTTTCCCTTGCAACATTGTTATTTCTAAAAATTTGATAATCACCTTTTTAGCTCACCGATTTGGGCCCCATGTGAGCTTATGCAATCACCTGGCGTCCGTCGTCTGTCGTCGTTGTCTGTCGTCGTTGTCTGTCGTCGTAAACTATTTAAAAAATCTTCTCCTCTGAAACTACTGGGCCAAATACCTTCAAGCTTTAATTAAATGTTCCTTAGGGTATCTAGTTTATAAATTATATCCGAAGTTTTGATCCATCGACAAACATGGCCGCCATGGCTAAAAATAGAACATAGGGGTCAAATGCAGTTTTTGGCTTATATCTCAAAAACTAAAGCTTTTAGAGCAAATCTGACAAATGGTATAATCGTTCAATTGGTCAAGATCTATCAGCCCTGAAATTTTCAGTTGAATCGAACAACCCATTGTTGGGTTGCTGCCACTAAATTGGTAGTTTTAAGGAAATTTTGCATTTTTTTGTTATTATCTTGAATATTATTATAGATAGATATAAACTGTGAACAGCAATAATTTTCAGCAAAGTAAGATCTACAAAAAAGTAAATATGACCAAAATTGTTAATTGACCCCTAAAGGAGTTATTGCCCTTTATAGACAATTTTGCACAATTTGTTCATCAAGTTGGCTAACATTTAAAAATCTTCTCCTCTGAAACTATTGTGCCTAATACTTCTTTACTTAAAATGAATGTTCCTTTAGGAATCTAGTTTATGAATTGTATCCGAATTTTTGATCCATCAACAAACATGGCCGCCATGGCTAAAAATAGAACATAGGGGTCAAATGCAGTTTTTGGCTTACATCTCAGAAACTAAAGCATTTAGAGCAAATCTGACAGGGGGTAAAATTGTTCAATTGGTCAAGATCTATCAGCCCTGAAATATTCAGAAAAACCGAACAACCCATTGTTGGGTTGCTGCCATTAAATTGGTTATTTTAAGGAAATTTTGTAGTTTTTGGTTATTATCTTGAATATTATTGAAGATAAAGATAAACTGTAAACATAAAAAATGTTCAGCAAAGTAAGATCTACAAAAAAGTTTTTACATATGACCAAAATTGTCAATTGACCCCTTAAGGAGTTATTGCCCTTTAAGGACAATTTTACACAAGTTGTTTATGTTTTTTAACTTTAAAAATCTTCTCAAATGAATCTAGTATAAATTTTGTATTTCATTTCCTTGTACGTCAAGAAACATAGACACTATTGCTAAAATGGAACATATGGGTAAAATGCATTTATTTGCTTTTGAAGAAAATATGACAGATACAATGAACATTTAAATGGCATTTTTAAGCCACTCATATATTGAAAAGCAAAAATAATCATTGATGAAAGATTTAAGCAAAAAAATAACAGGTGAGCGGTTCAGGTTCAGGCTCTTGAGAGCCTCTTGTTTTGTTAGTTATAAGCAGTTTTACTTTGACTGCCAGGAACTAAACCTTATAAATGTTGTTTAGTCTACATGCATATCAATTAAAGTTGAAAATAGCAAACATGATTTGTTTTCATTAAAAATTTAATCTTTTTGTAAAATGAATTCAACTGAGTTGCCGATATAAAATTGTATGTATATTATTGATAAGATATTTTTTTACAAGTAATTTATTCTTAGAGAAATATTTAATTGTATACCTCTGCTTAGAATTAATGCAGCTGGGTCATAAAACTTTTTAAGGTTTTGAATTATGAGTATAGCTAGCTGTTGCACGATATTTTGCTATAAAGATAAAAGTATTTCAGGAAAAAATAATTGAAATATGAAGATTTTTTCATTATCTGACAGATCTAATTGTAAATTACCCATGATTCAGTATTTATTGAAACAGGTGGCAAAAAATTATAAAAATAAATTGTTAAGAAGCTTATTCAAGACATAAAGATTAATTTTATCATGCAAAATCAAATTGTTTGCAATAGTAATTGGAACTGGAACATGACAGGATGTTATGATAAACTGCTTAAAAAAAACGAGTTTTCAAATTAGTTTTCTTGTTTATTTCCATGTTTAAGTAAATTGATTGCTTGCTAACTGGTATGCTGTTCCTGATTGTTATTAGAACAAAACCTGCATTGTGACTCTAAGCAAATATTTCACACAAATACGTGTAATGATTAGTTTTGGCAGTAGAATTTATGTTTTCAGAGGTGATTAATGTCAATATCTGCCTAAAATTTGTAATTGCTGTTATAAAGTATGATCTGAATGACAAAATGCATGCCAAAATTTTCATGACCAAAATAATTATTAATCTATTCAGTAAGCAGATTGTTGGAAAGATATTTGGGATGAATGCCTTGATTATAGTCACTTTTTATAGCACTTCAATATCATAAATTTGGAGTTAGATAGAATATTGTAAATTCAGAAATTTTGGCAAATTAACAGGATTGCTATTGCAAAAATATATTAGCTTGCATTTTAAATTTCATAAGCATTATTTGTAAACAGCATTTCTTGAAATCTGGCATTTGGGTCTTTTATTCCACAATTGCAATAACAACTATTTCTGAATTGACAGTATGTTGATGACTATATGTTAATGTTATAATCTTTCCTGAAGATTCCTTGAATTTTATATCAATAGTGACTCCAGTTGTCTTCAATTAATGAACATGTGAATGATGTATGCTACATTTGGAGATAAATGTGACATTAATTACTTCGCTAATGTCAATATTATATAATTCTGATAAAAGGAGTATGTCATAAAAAATGAATGAGATAATGGTATTACATTTAAATGAAGATATAGTTCAATTGTAAATCTTTAAAAAAAGTGTTTGATGAAATAACGAGAAAGACCAAAAAAATACAACTTTTATAAAGGATAACCTTTTTTTTGGGTGAATTTTTCTTTTACAATTTGTATGAGAACTGTTGTAAATTTCAAAGTTTGTAATGGAGAGATGAATGTTAAACGTCCAGTGGCAAGTATATATGCAGAACAAGAACATATTTTTTTAATGCAAAATGAAAATTTACCCTGCTTTGTACCTTACTAAACTGAGATGCCTAGTAGGAGTTTTCATACCACAAGGTATGACCTTGTCACATTGTTATACTCAAATCAATACTCAGTGAGTCAGACATAGAGTGTGTGGTATACTGCAATCCCCTTGTACATCTGTTTGTCCTTCTGTCTGTTTGTCTGTCTGTCTGTTTGTCCTTTTATCCAATCATTACTTTCTTTACATATTCTTCAGCTTCTGTATAATTAACAGAAGGTATTAAGGAATGATTTCATATTTGTTCTAGAATTTTATAGGGTTCACTCTGTTGTGCTTGTAATTGATTTTAATTTTTTCTTGACTCCTCGAAATTAGATTGAAGGTTTCCTCAAAACCTTTGATGAGTTCTGTTTTTATGAAATTAGAAAGAAGGAGACATTTTTAGTAGATGACTTTTATGCACCTGTCCTAAGTCAGGAGACTGTTGTTCAGTGGTTGTCATTTGTTGGTGTGGTTCATAGGTGTTTTTCGCTTCATGTTTTTTGTATAGATTAGACCGTTGGTTTTCCTGTTTGAATTGTTTTACACTATCATTTTGGGGCCCTTTATAGCTTGCTGTTCCATGTGAACCAAGGCTCCGTGTTGAAGGCAGTACTTTGACCTATAATTGTTAACTTTTTATACATTTTGACTTGGATGGAGAGTTGTCTCATTGGCACTCATACCACATCTTCTTATTTATATTGTAAAAAATATCAAAGGTTTAATTATGTAGCCTTGATAACACAATCATTTATTGTTGCAATAGTTGCATCCATTTGGTAGGAAACTTTTAATTAAGCTTTAATCTTATCAAAACCTTACATATAGCAGAAAAGGAAAGGGGACTTGTACTCATAGTTTCATACCTTATCATTTTTCATTCCCTTGTCAAAACTTCTACATTATAGCTTGAAAGAAATGACATCTTTCGATTTAAAATTCGGATGAATATAATCAGAAATATTGAATTCTTGTTGTGAGGCTTCTTTATTTGATAGAACTGGCATGGCATATGTACTTTACTTAAAAATTCAATCAATTATATATATGGGGTAAAATGGGTGACAAAATTTAAAAGTATTTAGTATGAATGAATAGTGCTTGATGGAAACTTGTGCAATATTAATTTCAGACTGTGTCTTAATTGTTACTTATTTCATGCAACTGAAATATTTACTGTTGAACTATAGGTAACGATTATTTGATTATAAAATACCAACTATACAACTCTTATACAGAATATATATGCTTTATTGATGAATTTAGAAGACTCTAAAATGTCTTATAGAATTATCAAAAGCAATTTTTTTTTTATTTTATATGAACTGTTCCAAGCAATAATTCACTGATAGATAGCTCTACTTTGTATAAGTTTGACAGTAACATTTTTTTTTTCAATCCAAAATATTTGATATTAATATTTTATCACCTTTATTGTGAGTTCTAAAAGCTAGAAACAAGAACCAATATACTGTAAATTTATGAAAATTATTGAGTGCCTTTATTATTGCTATTTTTCAAGAATGGACATAAATGCGATTTTAATTATTGCGATTTCGAAAAATCTGCATAGAGATCGATCGTTTCAATTATCAGAATGCAAGTTCTTATTATTGCGATTCTCACCCAGTCGCATTATTCACATTAATAGAAACCTCGCAATAATTTCTGAATTATAGTAATATTGCCTTATATTTTACTGGTAGAACAAATCAAATTATGTCAATATTTTGCATATTTCAACTCTTGGTTCACAACTGTTACACATCGCATGTCAACATACATCATATGATGTTCATAAAATCAAAAAATTCTAATATCACTGATATAGATATGTTATTGAAGAAAAATAGATACAAACTAAATAGCAATATACTTACTTTCATCAGTGAACATTGTATTCCATTTTATGTTTATAACTTCCTAGAATTGCTCTTTTTTGATAATTTATGGATTTTAAACTTGTTTGAAAACTTCAGAACAAAATAAACATTAAATTTTCCAGCCTGAATTTTCTTCTTTGATTGTAGATTATTATTGTAGAAATATGCGTTCAAGTTGTTTGTGTTACTTCTTTATGAGAAATTGTAGTAACCGATGTTTTGGTTGTAAATTGGTTTTTTTTTGTCTATCAGTTCTATATCAGTTAGCTTCAGTTCGATTGTGAGGCAATCATTTACAAAGATGCTAATGCAGCATGTGATCTATAGTACAGAGCTTTCAAATAGGCATCCAGGCTCCAGGCATTTATCACTTCCTTTATATCAGAAATGCGCAAAAAATCAATTAATCCACTTCTCCGACTCTGCAACCTGTTAAAGCTGCATTTAGGCTTTATTTAAAAGTCTGAATTCTGAATTACAACTGACAGCTTCTGGGGATAATGGTAAAAACAATTATTTTAAATGATGTTTACGGTAATTAATCAATGTTGGATATTCTGTCAGATTTTTAGAGCTATTTTGTATCAGTTTCATACTGTTTTTGTTAGAATTTTAAAAATAGGTTGAAGATGATTATTTTCATAAACAAAAATACTATGGATAGTTATCATTCTTATCTATTTATTTATGTCAGTTCTTTTAAAAGTTTAACTGAGGTCTCCTTTGAAATGAGCAAATCTTAACTTATGTACATAATAAATGAAAGCATATTTTGTTAATTTCAGCAATATGAATGCAAGTAAAATGGCACATTGTTTGCTTGAATGGAGGACTTAGAATTGTTCTAAATTAGATCTTTTAAAACTTTTAAAAGGATTTTAACAAATGATAAGCTTGGTAGCTGTTTGAAATGTAACAAAATTGCCTCAAGTTTTAACATTTAATTTGACATAACATCATAGTAATTAAAGCTGTTAATCAAGTACATGTATTGTGAAAAATCATATAAACCTTATTACCTATATTGATATCTGGTACATTTACAAACAAACAACCTGATTACCTACACTGTATATTGATATTTGGTACATTTACGAACAAACGTTTTATATGGTTTTTATTCTGCATCATTTAAAAGATTGATCATTAGACAATCATGCTTTTGACTTCCATTTAATGATCAAAACTTCATCAAAGACAAAATAACAGTTTTTCCAGGTCTCAGTTGATCTCATTGGCTTTTGTTAGATTGCCAAATCATTATTGTGCTTTCAAATCAGTATGAGGTAAATGTGAGCATACTGACTGACCATAAGATGAAAGCTTTGAGGAGTAATTGTCATCAGGTGTTATCCAATTCTGAGAATAAAAGAGATTTATAGCCACATCATAACTTTTTAGATTAAATCTTTTACAGCAGATTCCATTGAGTGTGTAGCCAAAGGTAATATCTTTGGTTAGCTTGCTTGTTAGCTGAACCGTGAAGTCATTATTAGGTCAGGTATACTACCCTCCTTTCGAAGTAGCATAGTCCAACAGACAGATCGATTGGTTTTCTGTCGGACTAGTCTATTCTTAAAGTAGGGTAGTTTACCTAACCTAACAATGACTTCGCGGTTCAGCTAACAAGCAAGCTAACCAAAGATATTACCTTTGGCTACACACTCAATGGAATCTGCTGTAAGCATCACAGAGACTCTCTTTTACCACCAATTTTCATCCAACATTCTGTTATGATTGGCAATGGGTAGGGGTCAAGAGCCAATTAAAACAACTGTGGAGAGGAAATCCTTTAAGACATTTAGGAGCTACAATTGCTATATTTTACTGATTCAAAAACACTTATTATGTATATTGAATTTCTTACTCATATAATTAACTACCCAGGTTTTTAACATCAAACGTTGAATGAAGACTTTAAAAAGAATAATTATAAATATATTTTTTTTAAACCAGGTAAATTATATAATCGTGTGAAGACAGCTGTCTACTTTAAGAATAGAACAAAATGATGAGAGGCATAATGAAACTCTTGAAATGTTTACTTTCAGATCACCAAAGAACCAAGATGAGAAGCTGATTAAAAGAATCGTGGGCTTTGAAGGAGATGTAATAAGGTAATGAATGACATGTAAAAAGAATTAAAATAGACTTGGCTTAAAACATGCTTTAAAATGAATTATCTGAATTCAAGATAGAACATTTTATTGTTATTCCCTAAACTTTAAGTGTCCTCAGACATGTACTTTTATTTATGTTTATCTTGTTTTAATGCTGAATTTGATTTAAAGATATTGCTACTGGTCATTGGGAACCCATTCATCCATCTTTGCATAATAGAATTTGATTCTCAACTTTCTGAATTGTCAAAACAGTTTGTTGTCATTGCCGCAGGATTTTAAATTGATTTTAATCTTGCCTGTGATGAAAGTCTTTCATGGGCAGATCAGACTTTGGCAACCTGTTTCTGGTATCGCAAGCATCAACATTTGTTAAAGTTAGTGATTAGGTTACACAGGCAAGACAAATACCAATTGGTCAAAATATTTTTCCAACTAGCAGTATGAAATCATCCCTACAAACTGATTATCTTGTAAAAAGTGTTATTAAAGTAAGCACTGGGAACAGTGGTTGTCGTTTGTTTATGTGTTATTTATTTGTTTTTCGTTAATTTTTTGTACATAAATTAGGCTGTTAGTTTTCTCGTTTGAATTGTTTTACATTGTCATTTCAGGGCCTTTTATAGCTGAATGTGCGGTATGGGCTTTGCTCATTGTTGAAGGCCGTACGGTGACCTATAGTTGTTAGTTTCTGTGTCATTTGGTCTCTTGTGGAGAGTTGTCTCATTGGCAATCATACCACATCTTCTTTTTTATATTAAATGTAATAACAAAATATTACATGTAAGCAGGTGTAGAATTTTCTCGCTTTGTTAAAGACCCATTGGTGGCCTTGCACTATAATCAACAGTATATTGTGAATTATGCAGTGTTACAACTATATCGCAAATATAGTTCTTTTAGTGGCTTTATCAGTATGTTAACATGAACTAGAGCATGTTTTCATTGAAAAACAGTATGTCAAATTGGCACTGTGTACAAATTGCCTGTTTTATGTTTCATTACCTTTATTGCTGAAGAATCAACCAGGAATGTTAACTTGTTAGAAAGATGTTTTATCCTAAATTTCATTGAAGTACCAGCAATTTAGTGATAATTTTCTTCCCATAATCTTCCACAGCTGTTTATTTGGAAAAAAGATGAGCTCTCTGTGATCATTAATGAGGGAAAGAAAACATTTCATGCATGATTATCTACTTTGGAAAACATTCATTAATCACCAGTGGTTATTAGTTCTGATCTTGACCCCTTTGTTTGAGTACTTTGTAGTAGAAACTTATCTTTTGGAGTACTTGCAGACACAGTTGTCTGTTGACTCAGGGATGTAGTGTTATTTTTTTTTTGCAATTGAATTCAGGAAGTAGAATTGTGAATAATAATAAAGTGGGAAAAAGTATCATGTCTTGAATTCTCAATGTTCAAATATTAATAAAACTGAGAATGGAAATGGGGAATGTGTGAAAGAGATAACAACCCGACCAAAGAGCAGAAAACAACCCAAGGCCACCAATGGGTCTTCAACACAGCGAGAAAATTCCACACCAGGCTTCAACAAAAATGTGTACTAGTTCAAAGAAAATGGACGTCACACTAAACTCTGAAATATATAGATGAACCAAAATTTAAAAAACATACAAGACAAAAAAAGGCCAGAGGTTCCTGACTTGGGACAGGTTCAATAATGCTGTGGGGTTAAACATGTTTTGTGACATCTCAACCCTCCTTCTATACTTCTAGCCAATGTAGAATAAACAAACACATAGCAATACGCACAGTAAAACTAAGTTTATAGGAAATGATATGTTTATTTTTTTTTTTTTAAATCAAATGCCAAGAAATGTAACACATTTAGGATTTTTTTTAAAGGAGTTATCTTCCTTTGTTTATAATGGTAGTTGAACTTTAACCTTTTTTTAAGAGCAGATAGATTCTTCATTCATACATCATGCACATCTTATGATATTAATGAGAATAGAGAATCAGATTAATAGTTTTATGACAAGAGTACGCCTCGGTGGTCTCTTGGTAGGTGTTCGCCTCGAGTACAGGAGGTCATGGGTTGAACCCAGGCTGGGTCATACCAAAGACTTAAATTGGTATTTGCTGCTTCTCCGCTAAGCATTAAGGAGTAAGAGCAAAGACTGGTCAGCTCGGAGTCAGAATAATGTGTCTGGGTAAGGTGATATGTCTTCCTGCGGACTTTTACCTTGTGAACTAGCACGTTAAAAATCCAGCTCAGTGTGTGGGTCTCATCCTAAATATGCATATTAATTTGCCGCTTGACGTAAAGCAGCCATCCATTATCATCATCTTTTATGACAATTGGGCATGGATATGATCTAAAGGATTTCAACTCACTGCACTATGTTGTGTGAACTCTCAATGGTAGAGATGAGGCTTTGAAAATATAGCTATCAAACCAGTGACATATAGATTTAATTGCATTTTATGACATCTTTACCCCAAAAACTGTAAATCAGCATCAGAACAAACATTCCTGCTTACTAATTGATAGATGTTAGTTGAGACACATTCCATTTGGCTCATAGAACATAGATTTATTACAGAAATCGAAAAGAGGGACGAAAGATACCAGAGGGACAGTCAAACTCATAGATCGAAAAACAAACTGACAACGCCATGGCCAAAAATAATAGTACAGATGACACAACATAGAAAACTAAAGACTAAGCAACACGAACCCCACCAAAAATTGGGGTGATCTCAGGTGATCCGGAAGGGTAATGTGTACAATGTTACCTGTGACAATAAATGGTTCATATGAAAATATAGCTGTGTTGATCTCTGAACAGATAGTACATTTTCAATAGTATTTTTAAAAGCTTTGTAAAATTAATTACTTTTGTTGGCCAGATGAAATTAGTTTTTTTACAATATTTGCTTTATAGAAATTGTCAGGTAGTAATTTAGAAAGTAATGATAAATTATTTCCAAATTTGGAGAACGTTAAATTTTTTAGGGTTTTCCCTGATATATATGCTTGGTATGGTTATTGCACAACTAATTTAAAACATTCTAATTTAATAATCTGTCAAGTTTCACATGAACAGATCCAAATACAGTTGGTATGGTGGCACCCTCTAAATTAAATTAATTTCTTACGTCTGGAAATAATCAAATTTACATTTTATGATTCAACCTAATTTCATTTGCATCTGTTTTCAGTCTGTTTTGGCAAACATTTTAAATAAAATTCAATTTAATCTTGAAATTTTTTGGACTTCCTTGACAAGAATCAATCAAGACAAGTACTCTTTCTCAAATTAATAGTTAATAACAGTTTTAAAGGTCAAATTCTAAGATTGTTGAAGAAAATGAGCAATGATTGGAATCAATTAACAAATTTTATATAACCAGGAAAAAGGGTTAGCAAATATCTCTAGCAAATGACTTTATCTAATTTAGTTTTAGCGGAATTGGAAATTATTGTTAGTTGACTCAATATTGCGTTTTTCATTGATTTTCAATGTTGACTATTATCAATATCAGAGATCTTTATAATGATTACTTGATATGGAACCCAAGGATGAAAAATATCCAGTGTTATTTTCGAAGAATCTATGTAAATATGGGATGATTATTTTAATAATTGAATGATGTATGACTTTATTATCTTGTTTTTTTACAGAACAAGATGATCGTGTCCACCAATAAATAATATTCATTAAATAACCTTTGCGGTCAAAGATACTTGTCCATGCTTGATAATCTAATTAACTCAAGTTTTGCCATTGTTTTGATTCTTCTGTATTTACACCAAAATATCATAAAATGTAATTGGATGTCAAGCATTTATTATGTTTTTGTTTAACATAGGGTCAAATTGCTGAAATACCCCATCCTAAATTATTGAAATCTATCCTTTTTCATTTACCATAATATCTTGTTTTAAATTTGTTACACCAAATTGGACTAATGCCCTCATGGATATATCTCATACATAAAAAAAGTAAGAAGATACTGAAGGGTTATTCCCCTTTAATCAAAAGTGTGATGGACAACACCATGTCCAAAAATAGAAACAAAACAAAAACATAAAACACTACACAGTAAAAGTAGAATTTGATCAGGTATAGCAACAGAAATTCCATCCATAAGCAATGATGACAAATAGGTGCTACAGATAGCTAAGCAGCTTCTTCCCCATTAATGTCACCCGTCATTTATAATCCTCATGACATGTTAACATCTAATGATGAGTGTCATTTAGAGATTAAACGAGGAAAGGAGGACATACTTGTGGCTACAACTAATGCAACATTTTCCTGGACATCTGAGGACAAAGATTTTCCATTACTGGAGGGAAAATTGTTCTGGCAACATAGTCTATCGAACTAAAATCCAAGGAAAATTCTTCCAGCCAAATCACATTCCAGTATTTGTAGATATGCACATCATTTCAGAATTATTCATTGACAACCCTAATATTGGAAATGTTAATTAGTTTGTAGCCCAAACAACACAAGAGAATATTTTACTTCTTTCTGAAGTTTAGCAAACAATAAAAATCTTTTCTTTATTTCAAGGACAAAGAACAAGAAAAGAGGCGTATCAATACCTAAAGGACATTGCTGGTTAGAGGGAGACAACTCTAAACATAGCCATGATAGTAATGATTTTGGACCTGTAAGTAGCTTCTGGTGAAGTTTTAAGTGTTTTGATATCAACCTATGACAGGGGTGCAACCACTTAAATCAGAAAATGTATTTATTTGGCATTTAAAACTTTTAAAAGTCCAGTTCCAGTTATAACTTGTGTTATTTTGTTTGGCTTCCTCCACCATTAAAAACTGACCGCCACGAATTAGCCAATTGTGCTGAAAGTGGCCTTAAACACCAATCAATCAATCTTTTTGATGTTTACTTCACATCTTTAATGTTAGTATCTGAATGATTTCTGGCTCACTTGATCCCTTATACCATGTGTGCATAGTTTATACTTTTTGACTGGGTATGAGTGGAATAGTAAGTTTATTGTCCCCCAAGGTGCAAATATTGCCCTGAGGCATAGCCGAAGGCAATAGTTGTATCCGAGGGGACAATAAACTTACTATTCCAGGAATATCCAGTTAGTAAGTGTTTTATTATACCGAAAGAGACAACAGACAATAAATGTCAGGGCTAAATCAACTATTGTAATATAAAAAGCAGAAACACAACCATACTGTTTAACGTTTACTTCATGTATATTCTGAACATGCTGAATGCAAAGGCTAAGTCCCGCACTGACATCAACCCTCGATACAATAGGTAAAACAAGACGTAACTTCCGCGATTCTCAACATTCTTCAATCCCGTAGCTGCAGTTGAAATACGCGAAATATAATGACATTTGCGGTCAAATAGTTTCATCGAGGGTAATAGTTGGAAACTATTGACCAGTCAAATAGTTCAACGCTTGCAATTTGAAAACTAGTGAAAATATTGTGTACTTATTTTATATAGAAAATGATAACTGAGGTATAATAATGTTTTATATTTATTAATTTCCTCAAAGTGGAAAAAAAATAATTGCCGTTTAAACTGTTTCCAGTTAGGTAATTCAAGTACAAATTCAGTCCAATTTGTAATGAAATGGCAGGCTTGTTCCCTTGATCTAATATTTATTTATTAGTTGACAAGTGTCGGTGTTTTTAATTGTAATTTAAAGTTGCGATTGATTTGTATCTTAAAACATGCCCATGTTTTATCCAACTAAAAAGTACCATGAGCCAGATAACACATTGATTTTACTATAAAATCGGAAGTACTCTGAAAAACCATTTTATTTGATTACAGCTTTTTTTTTACCTTATCTGTTTAATTAACTTACAAATGAAATGGTTAAGGACAAAAGATGGATGAGTTTGTTCTATACAAATTGTCTGTTTTGACAATTGAAAGTTATTGGGATTTAATGTGTATCATAAAGAAATAACACCACTGGTAAATTGACTAATTAAAGTTTGATTTCTCGATCCAGTGATTTAAATGGTCAAAGTTAATTGTAACCTTTGATTTTTAATGAGATTGTTCTGTACCAGATTTTAGAACATTCACAGATTTCCTGTAACACAGATTAGTTTTTTAGATTAGGTCACGAACCACTGCTTTAAAATTGCAATGAATAGAGTTATAATTTGTAGAAGGCATACATTTGTTTAGGATTTCAATATGGAAATTATGGTAAAAATAGCTTTCTGGTTTTAAAGCCAGATGATGGTGCTATCATATTAAAATCTAAGACAAATTGCATCTTAAACATTTTTAAATCTGAAATATTTATTGCTTACATGTATTATTTGGGTTTCATGATATACATATATGTTGAAGTTTAATCTGGTGAAAACCTAGGAGAATGTATGATAAAGGCCATTTATTGGCTCCTTGTATTCGAAAATCAAAAGGTATTACATTTTATAAACCTTACAATTAAATCCTTTACAAGACATAAGTCAGTCAGATATTGTTATTTATATTTTTTAATTTTCAATATTTTCTTTGACTTGGCTTCGGTCTTCAGAGTTAATCTATCTAAAAAAAATTTAAATAACTTCAAAAATATCTTATTTCAAGATTTTTTCGTTAATATTTGGAAAAGATTTGCCCAAAAAGGTATTTTGCCACAATTTATGAAATAGTTCATATTAAGATGTTGATATGGAAGGAACTGTGAGCTTTTGCCATCACTTGGCGTCCGTCGTCTTCTGTCATCGTCCGTCTGGTGTAAACTATTTGAAACATCTTCTCCTCTGAAACTACTGAGCCAATTCCAACCAAACTAAAGCTGAATGATGCTTAGGGTATCTAGAATAAAGTTTGTGTTTTGTCAAATAACATGGCCACCATGGCTAAAAATAGAACATAGGGGTAAAATGCAGTTATTGGCTTATATCTCAAAAACCAAAGCATTTAGAGGAAATCTGATAGAGGGTTAAAGTGTTCATTAGGTGAAGTTCTATCAGCCCTGAAATTTTCAGTTGATAACCCATTGTTGGGTTGCTGCCACTAAATTGGTAATTTTAAGGAAATTCTGCAGTATTTGGTTATTATCTTGAATATTATTAATGATATTTAAAAGATAAACTGTGAACAGCAAAAATGTTCAGCAAGGTAAGATCTACAAAAAAGTTCATTTGATCAAAATTGTCAATTGACCCCTTAAGGAGTTATTGCCCTTTAAGAACAATTTTACACAATTTGTTTATCATGTTTTCTAACTTTAAAAAATCTTCTTCTCTGAAACAACTGAATAAATTCCAACCAAATTTAAGGTGAATGATTCTAAGCTTAAGGCTATCTAGAATAAAGTTTGTGTTTTATTTTCTGTTTTGTAAAAAAACATGGCCACCACGGCTAATAATAGAACATAGGGTAAAATGCAGTTTTTGACTTATATCTCAAAAACTAAAGCATTTAGAGCAAATCAGACAAGAAATTGAAGTATTCATTAGGTCAAGGTCTACCCGACCTGAAATTATCAGCCAAATTGGGTATCTGATTTTTAGGTTATTGCCCCTGAATTGATGATTTTAAGGAAATTTTGCAGTTTTCGGTTTTTATCTTGAATATTATTATAGATAAAGATAAACTGTAAACAGCAAAAATGTTCAGCAAAGTAAGATCTACAAATAAGTTTTTATATGACCAAAATTGTCAATTGACCCCTTAAGGATTTATTGTCCTTTAAAGACAATTTTTCACAATTTGTTCATCTAATCTAGTTTGCTTACTTTAAAAAATCTTCTCCTTTGAAACTGCTTAATCAATTTCAGCCAAACTTGGGCTGAATGAGTTTCAGAGTATCATGTAAATAAAGTTTGTGTTTTATTTTCTGTTTCGTAAAAAAACAGGGCCGCCATGGCTAAAAATAGAAAGTAGGGGTAAAATGCAAAAAATGTTTATTAGGCCAAGCTCTGTCAGTCCTGAAATTTTCAGATGAATCTAACAACCCATTGTTGGATTGCTGCTACTTAATTGGTAATTTTAAGGAAATTTATTTTGCAGATTTTGGTTATTATCTTGAATATCATTAATGATAAAGATAAACTGTAAACAGCAAAAATGTTCAGCAAAGTAAGATCTACAAATAAGTTTGGTATTACCAAAATTGTCAATTGTCCCCTTAAGGAGTTATTGCCCTATAAAATCAATTTTTCACAATTTGTTCATTTAGTTAGCTTACTTTAAAAAATCTTCTCCTTTGAAACTGCTGAATCAATTTCAGCCAAACTTGGGCTGAATGAGTTTCAGAGTATCTAGTATAAATTTTGTATTTTATTTTCTTTTACATCAAGAAGCATAGCCACTATGGCTAAAATGACACATAGGGGTGAAATGCATTTCTTTGATTTTGAAGAAAATATGACAAAAACAAAGAACATTTCAATGGAAGTTTTAAGCCATTCATTAATTTATATTGAAAAGCAAAAATAATCATTGATGAAAGATTTAAGCAAAACATTACAGGTGAGTGTTTCAGGCTCTTGAGAGCCTCTTGTTTCTTGAATAATGGTATTTCAATATTTATTATAACATCTAATCACTTTAAAGAGTTTTCTGAAGTACACAGTGTGCTATGAAGGAAATTAAAAGTTTCCAGAATTGATTCATGATAGGTATGAATACTTCCTACATGGGTTATCATGTACAAAACCAACCACTTTGCTAAAAAAGTGTCTTAAAAAGATTTTTATTTTAGCAAGTGCATTACTGGTATAAGTTCTTTCATTTTATAGTTGGTTCTTCTGTTTGAAAATTGATTCATTCAGTTGCAAAATTCATGTTGTTAATTTCAGTTTTTTTTGGAGGTTTTTACATCAATATGAGATGTTAACCCAGCACCACAATAAACAAAAAAGACATTCAGAGGTCAGATAAGGTCATCAACAATAGACCACTTACAATATGTCAAGGTCTAAATGGCCCAGAGTCTTAAATTGAGGCAGGTGAATAAATTTAATCAGTTTTTATTTTATATCTACCAACAACACCAATTTCATTAAAGAACAAAACAAGAAAAAGATATATACAAAGGCTATTGAAGAGGTTCCTGGCTTGGCACAGTACATAAACATGTGGCTAAATTAAACAACCTTATCAGGACACAGCCCTGATCCCTTTTTAGAAAAAGTACATTACAGCTGTACCCCTATTCTGAAAAAAACCTTTTCTATGTACTAATACATTTATTTAGTGTTCATGCTAGTCAGTATCTTTATCGTAGATGACCTTATTCAAGTCACTATAGTCATATAACCATCTTTTATTCCTTGTTTATTAGGTTCCAGTTGGATTGATATATGCAAAAGCCAGTAGGATAGTATGGCCGCCACATCGAATGGGAAAATTGAAACGAGGTGAAATCCATGAAGATAGATATGTTGTTAAACAAAATCCAAAAGTAACATTATTTCCTAATCCATAGCATTCCATTGTTCAGCTATTACCAGACTCATTTATTACCAGGATTGCAATAAGCCATGATATATGGAATTGAATGGAGTCGTGTTATCCATGCAATCAATTTCGTCAGCTTCATCGAGTCTAAAGGAAGGAGAACTGATCCAACATATACCAATGTCTGATTGTGCTTAATGACTTTTTACACAAGAAAATTACTTTTTATTTGTGAAAAAAAAGAACTTGTTACACTGACTAATAGTTTTTTCTGTGATAAGTTGTCTTCCGAGATTTGTTAGGTTGGTTGTGTGATTTTTTTCTCTATCAGTTCTGTAGGCATTCCAACTTCATTTCAAAGTTAAAAAAGCATATCGACAATGAATCAATAAGTAGTTATCTACACCAAAAATACTAAATTATAACCTTCTACCTATATCATTCCCTTCCTTTTCAGTGGTTTTGAAAATTATAAAGGCTTCCAATTTTTCTTTTTATTTGTTCAATTTTTCTAATGTTTACTTGTTACAAAGAGCACAAGTACCAATAGTAGTAAAACATAACTAGTAAGGTATGGTTCATGATGCTTTGTCCAACAAATATCACTTTTTTAATGCCATCACATAATGCTATTTTGAACCTAAGTGAACCTACATGTACTATGATATTCTTGCAGATGCTTGATTATGTGGAAATCAGATGAACAAGTTGAGGTTTTTTTCATTACTAATTCCATCATTTATTGTTTCAAGATTAAGTATGTTTTTTGTTTTTATTTAAAAATGGAAATAATTCTATTAAACAATCCATAGTTGTTATAGTTAGAATGGATTGAAATATGAAGTCAGCCACTTCACTGACAAATAGATATGAAAAATATAGCCTGAATAGTTAACATTAATTAAATGCAAACTAATGGTAATTGAATAAATCCTTGTCGAAATTTTTAATAACCAAATAAATGGTCAAAAAGGAGATTAAAAAGATACTGGGGGAATGAAAATATATTATTAATATTGAATAAATACATCATCACAAGCAATAAATGAGTATAAAAAAAGTATTTTTGTCTATATATAAGAATTTTTTTTTACTCAGGTAATTTAATCAATGAATGATAGATTTCTCTTAGAAGAAATTTAAAGGTCCCAGAGAATAAACTACACAGAGAACAATAGCTATTGTATTTATTCAATAGGACAGGTGAACTTGCAAAAGTTTAAATACCTGGTCAAGATAGAGATGGCACTGTGGAAAACTTTCATTGGGTTCGCAATAGTACATGATACAACAAGAAGAATTCTCAAGCTTCTTTTTGTTAACAACAGAGAAAAAACTAAAATAGAATTTACACCACAATACCTGGATATTGGTTAAAAGATTTGATACAATTTTCAATTGGAATGTCAACTTCAATGCAGATATACTGAGAATGCATTGTTTTTTCACATTTTACATTGATAACAGCTGTCATTCCATATATGGAGATAACTGATTTTGAAAGAATAACTAACGATGGTCAAGCTAGGGATCGGATTTTGAAAGATCTGGTATAGGATCATGATCGTAAAATGTTTTGCTCATTGCTGAGGCCGTACGATGACCTATAAATGATTGCATCTATGTTATTTGGTCTCTGGTAGGTAGTTGACTCATTGGAAATTATACCACATCTTCTTATTTTTATTTTATATTTATCATTAGAAAATTTAATTTAATTTACCATTGATGTACCTCCTCCTCATTTTCAACAAAACCTTTAAATAAAATGCTCCGCAGGGCGCAGCTTGATACGACCGCAGAGGTCGAACCCTGAACAGTTGGGGCAAGTATGGACACAACATTCAAGCTTGATACAGCTTTGCATTTGGATTGTGATTAAATATTTGACACAGCATAGGTTTCTGACACAGAATGAATGTGGTCTAAGAACTTAAAAATTTTAAATTGGACATTCACCTATTATGGTCCAATATCCAAAATCTAAATACATGGTTAGATTCAGCATATCAAAGAACCCCAAGAATTCAATTTTTGATGAAATCAAACAAAGTTTAATTTTGGACCCTTTTGACCTCAATGTGGACAAAGTTGATAACGGGGCCCAAAAATCAAAAATCTAAATACATGGTTAGATTCAGCATATCAAAGAACCCCATATATTCAATTTTTGTTGAAATCAAACAAAGTTTAATTTTGGACCCCGATTTGGACCAACTTGAAAACTGGGCCCATAATCAAAAATCTAAATACATGTTTAGATTCAGCATATCAAAGAACCCTAAGAATTCAATTTCTGTTAAAATCAAACTAAGTTTAATTTTGGACCCTTTGGACCTTAATGTAGACCAATTTGAAAACGGAACCAAAAATTAAGAATCTAAATACACGGTTAGATTTGGCATATCAAAGAACCCCAATAATTCAATTTTTGATGAAATCAAACAAAGTTTAATTTTGGACCCTTTGGACCTCAATGTGGACCAATTTAAAAACGGGGCCCAAAATCCAAAAACTAAATACACGGTTAGATTCAGCATATTAAAGAACCCCAAGAATTCAAGAATAAAACCCCATTGAAATTGGTCAAGAAATAAGCAATTTATACGAAGTATCTTCTTTTGCACAATACTGTGCAATTAAATATTTCTTGCTATTGCGCAAAACTGTACAATTGACAATTTCTTGCTATTGCGCAATATTGTGCTATTGGATATTTCTTGTTATTGCGCAATACTGTGCAATTGAAGATTTCTTGCTATTGCGCAATACTGTGCAATTGAAGATTTCTTGCTATTGTGCAATACTGTGCAATTGAAAATTTCTTGCTAATGCACAATACTTATTATATAATAATTTACACATCCTGTTTGGTGTGTATCTCCTACCATATCATTATTATTTGCTTTTAAATATAAATCAGAAATAACCAACTTAAAATGGAAAATTTTAAAAGAAAAAAAAAAATGAAAAAAAAAAAAATCCCCCCCCCAAATTTTTTGAACCCCCTTATGATTCATCACCCCCAAACTCAATCCCAGCCTTCCCTTTGCGGTATGGTACCTTGCAGTACAATTTCAGAGAGATCCATACACTTGAACACAAGTTATTGTCTGGAAACTAGAAAAATGTGTTTTTTGGCCCCTTTTTGGCCCCAAATTCCTAAACAATTAGGGCAATTACCCCCAAACTCAAACCCAGCTGTCCCTTTGTGATATGGAACCTTGTAGTACAATATCAGAAGGATCCATACACTTACACACAAGTTATTGTCCTGAAACTAGAAAAATGCTTGTTTTTTGCCCCTTTTTTGGCCCCTAATTCCTAATATTTTGAGGCAATTACCCCCAAACTCAATTCCAGCTTTTCCTTTGTGATATGGAACCTTGTAGTACAATTTCAGAAAGATCCATGCACTTACACACAAGTAATTGTCATGAAACTAGAAAAATGCTTGTTTTTTTGCCCCTTTTTTGGCCCCTAATTCCTAATATTTTGAGGCAATTACCCCCAAAATCAATCCCAGCATTCCTTTTGTGATATGGAACCTTGTGGTACAATGTCAGAGAGATCCATACACTAACACACAAGTTATGTCTGGAAGTTACAAAAATGCTTATTTTTGGCCCCTTTTTGGCCCCTAATTCCTTTACTGTTGGTACCATAACCCCCAAAATCAATCCCAACCTTCCTTTTGTGGTATTGAACCTTGTGGTAAAACTTCATAGAGATCCATTCACTTAAACTAAAGTTAGAGTGCGAAAACCAATGTGTCTTCGGACGACGCCGGACGACGCCAGACGACGACGACGACGACGACGACGACGCCAACGTCATACCAATATACGACCACAAAAATTTTTTTGCGGTCGTATAAAAACTCAATTAAAAGCTAATAATTATTATATTGATATTTATATACATTGATTGATTGACTGATTGGTGTAACACCATTTTCAGCACTATTGTGCTCTTTCTTGGCAGTCAGTTTTTATTGGTAGAGGAAGCTGGAGTCCCCAGAGAGAACCATGACCTTCGGCAAGAAAACTGACAATCCTCATCAATTAAGATTGGAGTCATGTGCACCTGCCACATGCAGAATTACACCTCACAACCTCAGTGTTGACAGGCTAGTGGTACATTAGTTGGAAAACTTAGAAGACTCGTTCACTGAGGACTCCTATTTATATACAAGTGCTTTATAGGTAATAAACAGAGGAAAAATTTTGAAAATTTATGTGAAAAGTGTAGTATTTTCTGATCATAACTTGATAAAATGTTTTAATGCCTACGCTACGGAGGGGGCATTAAGTTTTTCCCTTATCCGTCTGTACGTCCCGAAATTGGTTTCCGTTCTCTTAACTTTAGTTTGCCTCAACCAAATGTTATGAAACTTATACACAATACTTATTACTACAAAACACAGTTTACGTTTGAATTTGGGTAGCGTCACTGTTACCTTTCTAGAGTTATGCCCCTTTACATGGGAAAAAATGCTGAATTTTTCGTTTCCTTTCTCTTGACTTAAGATCACTTAAGTTTACCTCAGCCAAATGTTATGAATCTTATATACAATGCTTATTACCACAAAACACAGATCAAGTTTGAATTTTGGTGGCGCCACTGTTACCGTTCTAGTGTTATGCCCCTTTACAAAGGGAAGAATTGCTGAATTTTTCGTTTCCGTTTTCTAACTTAAGTTTGCCTCAACCAAATGTTATGAAACTTATACATCATAAAACTCAGATCAAGTATGAATTTAGGTAGCGTCACTTTTACAGTTCTTGAGTTATGTCCCTTTATAACGTTATATGCAAGTGGGGTCATCATCTGTGTCCCATGGACACATTCCCCAGTTTATTTTTATTTATATTATACATATTAATACCTGTTTTCACTTAAGAGGCAAACATAACTTTACTTCCAAGATGATAAAGCTACCAGGAGCCTAACTTGTCAAAAATAAGTATCTTTGTTTCTTTAATGTTAAATGCATTTGCGAATGTGCAAAGAAAAAGGGGGTCTACCCTGGAAATACACTGAATGTGTGCGAATTGATATACGTCATTATACCAAACTAGGATCAACTAGGTGGTGAAAATTTCAACATACGTATTTTGAGTGAGGTGGGATCGATTTCCTCGCTTGGGTTGTAAATTTATCAATTTATGAATTGTGTTCTATTCCCGATCGACGATTCGTAACAAGTCTGGATTCTCTTGCCTGGTGATGAATAGATAACAGAAGACGCTTACCTTGCAGACAGATCTGATATTGCTACGTTAAAGATAATTAGTAACCATAAGGTTTTTTCCCCATGGTATGTACCTTCAAAAAATATTTTTAATCTAAAGGGATCATAGTCAATTCATTTGCGCTTAGCACCCAAACAACAGCTAAAACTGTCCGAATCATATTCCATTGACTTCACTTTCCGATATATAGATGATGTCCTCTCATTAATTACTTCATAGTTTAATGACTTTGTTGAACGTATCTATTCCATCGAACTTGAAATAAAGGAAACAACAGATACTATAGTCTGCCTTATATCTTGACTTACATCTAGAAATTGACAATGAGGGTTGGGTGAGAGAAAAACTTTACGACAAAAGAGATGATTTTTCAAGATGACGATGGATATGTTTCAATTATCGTAAGCACAATTCCATCCTCTTTTCCTTGAATGTGACTTATCACTGGGTTTGTACTTACATGAGCAACACGACGGGTGCCACATGTGAGGCAGGATCTCTTACCCTTCCGGAGCACGTGAGATCACCCCCGGTTTTTGGTCGGGTTCGTGTTGCTTAGTC